TGGCTTTTTGCTTTCATTTATTTTAATGAAAAGCAGTTTAAACCAGATGGATTTAGACCAGATGGAGACAATACAAAGCTCTTCTGGAGTGACTACTGCTACAGTCTGTAACATCATCCAAGAAAGCTACGATCCTTCTCTCCTCCTATGTCACCCTTCGCTGCCAGCACCCTGGCGGTGCGGCCTTCTGCCTGACGCTCAGGGTTGTGCTAAACCTGCAAAGCAAGATCAGCAGATGTCAGATTGGAGGACAGAGTTTAGGTGCTTGTCCCAGTGACATCCATAAGGTCTGCCACGCTGCCAGAGCACCCACGTCATTGAGGTGCCTCAGAGTGGATGAAAGGACTTCACTATCCTCATGGCCACAGACCCGTGGCTGAATGAGTAAATATAAACAGGTTGCCTGAAAACAGCAGTAATGTAGGGCTTTTTAACATACAAATAACCAGAGAAGCCACACGCCATTCTGGCAGTTAAATATGCGCTTCTGTTTCCAGGCAGGGTGGGAAGTTCTGAGGCTCACAACAAATGGCATGATCTTTACAACATTCGCACTCCACTCTTCAGTTTCATACTTCAAAAACTCACGGATTAAATCAGAATTAAAAGTGAATTTAAAGGAACCTACATGAAAGAATTCTGCATGTAACTATGAGGGAAAAATCCTCATCAAGCAGTGATGTTTCCAGTTCACAGCCTTATTCGCATTACTGGCACTTCTTATTAATGCTGCAAAGAAGCAAATCATTCTGGAGAAAAGTTATCAGGATGTGACAAGGGCCATGGGAAGCAATGAAGAGGATTCATCGCTTGCATTGAGTGATCTGGATCACTATTTAAGCTGGGCACAAAAAACCGATATGTACTTGAACAGGTCCAAGTAGAAGTTTATCCATCTACGAATAAACACGAGAGGCTGCACTAAAAGGAAATTCTATCCTGGACCACAACTACCTCACATATATTAATGGATAACAAGGCACATGGTGAGTTCCCAGAGTGACAATGTCTGAAACATCAAGTATTTAAGAGATACTTAAACAAGGAATATGGAGCCACATTGCAGAGGTGACACTGCAGCTGAGTTTGCCTCTGGTTCACCTGCTACTGCAACAGTGTCCTGTTCTCCTTTCCACAAGAAGCAAAAAGTTACAACAACCAAACCAGAATCCGAACCAGTGACTAGAAAATACAGACTGAAACTAAGATGCAAATCTTTGCCAGAGATGGCAATTAGCTAGTGGAACAAGTCAGTAAAAGCTGTCATGAATTCTCCAGCAGCAGAATGTTTTAATCATCACGACTGAATGCTTCGCAAACTGGAATTAATTCGAGGTCCATGCAAAAGACTAAATTAGGTTATTTCAAAGTTCTTTAGCTAAAAGTCTGTGTCTCTCTGAACAGGTACCTAAGGAAAGTTAGCAAAAGCATCATTCAAGAGTAGCTAGAATCTAGGAAAGGATTTTTTAAAGGTTATTACACTTGGCCCACATAAAGCATTCAGAAGTCGTGCGTCAGGGCCTCAAGCATCATGTGACTGCCTTAAAAATAATGGTATTTTAAAACAAGAATAAATATTGGTTTCTTTTCTATTTGTCTTCTGGTTTTCGGCCTTTTAAGCTTCAGGCTCCAAGTTCTGCTTTGCAAGCATGATATCCATAAAGCAGAGGTCACTAAATCAAATTTATGTGAAAGCTGAGATTCCTACAACATCACATGACTCCAAGGGGTCTTCAGGAAACTACCAAATATCTGGAGATTTACAGTAAAGTTGTAAGATTTGGCAACAGTGATTATAAAGGTGGTGTTCGTGCCTTAAAAGTCAACCACTTGCAAAAAAAAATTAAAAAAACAAAAATCACACCAAAAAGGCAAGTTTAGCAGCAGCTGCAGTTATTCCATCCCCTTCAGCAACTCCTTGCCAACATTTGTGGGTTTCTAACCACATCTTCCTGAGCACACGATGACTAGGGAGGAGGGGGTATTAATGACCCCAGGTCTTTTCCATCCCCCATATTCATGGGCTCCTCTTCCAGATCAAGCTGCTTCATGCTTTGCCCCTCAGTGTTAGGAAAGGCAAGAAGTCTTTTGCATGGTGCCTGTCCTGAGGGTTTCCTCATGGGCCAGGGACAGGTACAACATGTCCAGGAGAGAGGACAGGACCTGCTGGGTTGTGTGATTGCACATGACCATGGCGGGGGGGCAAGCTCTATTTGCATTAGCTTCTTTCCTTCCCCACCTCCAGAGCCCCCAGCAAGGTGAGAACTGAAACCTCTCACCTCAGAGAAGAAAATACAGCGTCTCCAAACCCTGCTCTCCTATTAACATTAGGAAAGTGGGTAGACCTCAACGTCAGCTCCTATGAATGTCTGTCTTCCCAGCCAAACAACGAATGGAAGAGTTTTCTGAGTCCAGCTAATGGGGAAAACTCTGAGCAATGGCACAGAAAAGCTGCTGTCTCCCAGCTCATGTCTGGAAGTGACTGGATGGCTTAACAGCCCCAGAGCTCTTCTCTAGGGATGTTTAGAGGATGCCTCCCAGTCCGGGCTTCTTACTCATTTAACTGCAGCTTCTTCACGGGGAGATGTGGGGAGACTCCAGCCAGAGAGGCAGCCACCACCACCACCAAACAGCTCATCTATCTTAGCACTCTCAATACAGACGAGCACCTGGGGAACAGGCGATTTTGTGGAATTGTGTTTTAACCAAGAGCATTCGAGAGCTGGATGAGTGTGTCCTGTGAAACACACAATGAAGCACTAGAGCACATTGCCTTTTGTTTAATGGAGCTGCACAAAAAGCCTTGCTGAAATGCGCTCACAGAGCTGGAGAGAGGAAAAGTGATGAGCACACAGGGATTACAGCCACTTTCTAAAGGCTTTTGTCATCCAAATCTTCCCTCACAGCAAGGCCACAAGGGGAGCCTGCAAGCCATGCAGTCAATTACGAGCTCGGGAATAGCACTGGAGAAGAAACCAGCAAGTTCTTAGCAATTAAGAACAAGTCCAGGTAGTGCCAGTGCTGAGTATTTTGATGTACCCAGCCATTTGCTGTGAAAAGTTGGTGCCACTGTACCAAAAAGAACACCACACCAGGAACCCAAGATGAGCAGGACAACCACCACTGAGCCAGCAAAGCCCCACTTCTCACCCAACCATACACTCCCCATCTATGGCCATTTTGCAGAGCAACAGCACAAGATTCATGGAGCACACGTGTAAATCCAGATCACCCCTACCAAGACAGGGCCAGCAAACAAAGATCTGCAGGATATACATGAGCAACCCTGCTGCTAGCAGGAATTACGGCTCACCAGGCACCCAGCAGGAACAGCAAGGAAACATCTCCCTCAGAGCCAAGTCCCATGGGAAAGGAATGAGAAAAGGCCTGAAAACCCTTGTCTGCCCACCATGAGCCAGGCCTACTGCTGCTGCTTCCTCCAGGAAGGATTCAAGAAAATCAGACCAGCTCCTTCTACGCGGCGCTCCCTTTGTGTGGGGCCGAAATGTCTGTTGGCTGAGGAATCCCACATGGCTTCCTGAGAGCACAGCCTCAACCTGACCGCCTCAGTGGCAAGTTCATACAGTTGTTTCTCAGCATAAACAGAGATTTTTGCTTAGCTCTTAAAAATATCATTTTGCTCTGAAAAATTACACAAACGCAGGACAGCAAATACTGGCAACCAAAGCACTTGTTTGGCCGGAGGAGTGCCAAGAGCGCTCCTGGTCCTGGGGTCACAAAAGGCCTTGTTGGACAACAACTTCCAACATGGACAACACTGCCATCCACGTGACATGACCCAAACCAGCCAGATCCACCAAGGCTGGCAAAATACTTTTCCAAGAGGTCCAAGAGCAGTGGGACGAGATAGAGGAACACTTCAATTCATGTTCGGCAGGAAAACCGCCTTGATGGAGCGGCCCCTCGCCCACGGTGTGATCCTGCGGCGGGCGGCCCTGCCAGGCCACGCACGGGGCAGCCTCTCCCCTCACCCGCGAGCAGGGAGACCTCAGCGGGATCCGCGGCGCTTGGCAGGATCCTAGCAGCTTTCAGGAATCGGCTCACAGGAAGTAAACACTTAAGATTATTTTTAATGCGCTTGGAATAAAACCTGCTCTCATGCAGAGGCCCAGCACAAGGGGCCAAGCACCATAAAAGTCCCGTGGAAGCTTTGTTTGGAAGATTGAAGTAGGACATAAGTGATGTATACACTTTATATGGCCCTCTTTGTGAAAGAGGGCCAGTGAAAGTATAATCTAGTGACAAGGCAGGTCTGAAATAGAGATGCCTCTTTATCTCAGACTTAAGTTAAAAAAAAACTTTTTTTTTTTAGTTTGGGCTTTTGAAGATCTTGATGATTTGAGGCTTAAGTGAAATCAGAAATCACAGAAATAGCATTTTTCACTTTTAGATAAAATACCACAGGACAAATTTAATTTCTAAAATATTTACCTTCTGTGTGAATTACAAAATATGAGCAGCAGTTCTGCATGGGCCAGCATGGGGTTTTATTTCACCCCTGTAATGCCAAACTAAACCATGAACCGGACTCTAGCTTAAAAGGATAAATATGAAAGTTTCTGGCTTTCATGCAAAAAGAAATTAAGACAGATTCGGAAACTGAAAACTTTTAAATAAAATATGCATTTTCTATGTTTACTGAAGGTTCCAAAATTCACAGTGACCAGTCCAGACGGGCAGACCAGAGAAACTCAAGTCAGCACACAGTGCTGCGACCGAGCACTACAGACGCCTTGGGACATGGCATCATTATGGGCACAGAGTGCAAAATATCTCAAAATGGGAATAAATGACATCTATTTCTGCTCGCTGGCTTGTTTATACCATCGCAGTGTAAGAAGTCACCTCAGGGTGACTGAAAAGCTGCAGATATCAACTGCAGTCACCTGCTTCAAAGCAACCACAGCTTCAGAGCAAACAACCGCCCAGTCGAGGAGGACGTAGGAGAGCAAGGAGCAAACCCACGACGCCAGAATTACCTGGTGACCCCGTACTCGGGAGGCGGCTGGTACCGAACGACGGCCACCTCGGTCCGGGCGGGCTGCGGAGCCCCGTAGGAGGGTTTGAGGACATCCTGCCCCATGGCCGCGTGCTGGTCGCCAAAGAAGAGCCCATGCTCGGGCGCCTTGCTCACGGGGGCCACCGCCTGCTTAGCTTTGTAGGGGTACTCGGGTGGTGGGCCCCGCGGGTCCATGGCCTTGGCGGGCGGCGCGGCCGGCGCTGCCGCTTTGAGCCCTTTGCTGCTCCCTGAGGTAGGCGGGTGTTGCTTAGCACCGTTTCTCTCCAGCGAGAGCTGCATGATCCTCTCGCTGAGCGAGCGGACGTGGCCCTGCTTGAGCTCCTTCAGCGCTTCGTCCTTGTGCGCTTGCCCGCTGTTGGCCCGGTTCACCGTTGCCCGCCCTTCAGTCCTCGACTTCTGCGTGGACACGCCAGCCACGTAAAAGCCCGGGCCAACCGCCCCCGGCTGCTGGCCTCGGAAAAACTGGGACTGGGCCTTGGCCTCCTCGTAGGTGGGTAGCTCTTCGTTGTTCTGCTGGGGCTGCATGGCCCGCGCCTGCTTCTCCATCACTGTATTGTCCCCCTGGTGCTCCTGCCCCTGAGGTTCCTGGCGGGCCGACTGCTGGAGCATTTGTGGCTCTTCTTGCGCGAGGTTTTCTGTGGAAGAGAGAGTGCTGGTAGTGCTGTTGGAGGGCCCTGCGCTCCCCGTGGCCTGGTGCTGAATTGCCAGCAGGTTCATGTTCTCGTTGGGGTTGCCATACCTCAGCTGCTCCTGGATCAGGCGCTGCAGCACGGTGCCCGCGGCCTCCTCCTCCGACCCTCGCATCTCCACCTCTGGGAGCCGGAGGAAGCTGGGAGGGTGCAAGGTGCAGAGCGGCTCCTCGGCTGGGCAGAGAGAGAGCAGAGGCAGGGGTTACACTTTGAGGAAGCCTTGAACATGGAGAGAGGATGTGGTTGAAGGAGGCGTGAAAACCATGGAGTCTTCCCCTCAAAGCTTTTCAGCACTCCTCCATACTCACCCGTGCCCCTAGCTGGGCAGGCCCTCTGCCCCAGCCGCTTCCCTTTCTGTATTCACAATAAGCACTTAGAAGCATATCCCCATCCCCTCCCCAGCCTTCGCCGAAAACACCCTCAACAGCCTCTTGATATACTCCGTGTACTCATCCCATACCCATGGCTCCCAGGTCCCTCCCTGGAGAATCAGGCAGTTTCAGAGGGAAACTGGCTCCTCCTGAGATGAGAACCTACTATGAGCTGGGTGAATTGTTCCTGGGAAATGCCTCTCCTGGGTTACAGAGGCAGCCTACACAGTGATACTAAAGAAGATGCTAGATTTTTGATAGCCATAGAGAGATGTGTTGCATCCTCTCCTGCGTGTGCTGCATGCCACAATGCAGTAAGATGTGGCATTTCTCACAGAAAAGTTTCAAAATGATACTGAAAATATAAAGATTCTAAAAGTGTATTTAAAGAGGAGTCTGTGCTTGGGCATTTTATTTTAGCACAGCAATTTCCCTTCTGGCTAATAATGATATATCTAAGTGAGTTAACACTACCTTGTACTGGTAGATGTTAGGGCCATAGATACAACACCATAAAAAAGGCACATCTTCAAAATATCTTTAAAAAGGCATAGACAGATTAGATTAAAAGCTATAACACAGATTAGTGAAATAATTCAGATGTGACGGTACAAGTTTTGCACCCAGGCCAGTCATGTTTAAGCAAACCCACAAGCCCTGCAAGCTCCATTTGCGTGGGAGAAACTGCTGAGTGATTCTGCAATCTGCAGGGAAGCTGCACAGGTTGGGCACTGGTGCCACATGTTATTTGAAATGGATTCCTGGTCTCTCCTCATAGCTTGGCAGAAAGTAGCACTTGCCTGGAGCTACACATCTAATGACAAACAGGCAATGCTGGGAGGCCGGGATCCTTCTGTCCTCGAACCTCCCAGGCGTTCCCACCCCAGCTGGTGTCATGCATTGCTACAGACCATGCCTGAGGCCAACGGGGGTGCTCAAAGACCCCAGTGCAGACAAAAGGGAGATTGAGCCCCCTGCTTTGGACAGTCCTCACATTTCCCTAGGCTGCCTTGAGTTCAGTTTTTGAGGTCATTCTTGGCAACTTTACATCTCTATCCTGCTGCTTCTCATTCTCAAGGGAGTTGTTCAAAAGTACTAACACTTGTTTTCTGGCATTAGAAACTAGCTAAAAAGCAAACTTTCTCTTGAGGTTTGGTATTTCCCTGAGGTTTCATCTGTTATTGCACATGCTGTGGGATAACTTATATACAAGCCAGATGCCAGAGGAGAAGAACAGCCTTCGGCTCTTAGCTGCGAGAATAGGTCATTTCCACTAACATTTTTGCAGTAAAGGACGAGGGAGGACTGTGGGGCTCTGAAAGGAGGGAGATTCCCAGGCTGCCTCATTACATCACCTCTCCTGTTTTCTCTGGGGCAATAGCACCTACCCACTCGCCTGGCTGGGTGTGGGGGTTTCCATGGGTCTGTGGACTTGCTGGGTTTGCAGTGTGTGGGAGTGGGAATGATGCACACGAGAGGGGACAGGGACACCCTGCAACTCACCCCCGGGCAGGACTCGTGACACCCAAAAGCCACGCTGAGCATTGCCAGGACATGCTGCTGAGAGACGCCTGCAAAGGGCATGACAAGACCTGGGCTCTCCATCGTTTTAATTAGGGTGTAGGCATCAACTTAATACCATGCTGGTAGGTAAAGGTTGTGCTCTCCTGCTTTCCATGGAGCTGGCCTGAGGCAGAGGAGCCGCGCGCCAAAAACCTTCCCTGCCCCCACTACAAATAGCAGCTGTCTCACTGGCATCTGAAAATCACTGCTGCCTATGCTTTTTTGCAGCCAACAAGATGCACAGAGACACATACATGCATTTTACATGTATGCCTATTAGCCAAGTATGCACCTAATTTATATGCCACTGCAGTTACAGCTATTACGGCTTTATTCCCATTACTGCACTGCACAGAAGCCTCACCATACTGGGCCTTTTTGCAGAGATGCAGCATAAAATCTCTCTTGCATTCCAGAAAGTTCCCAGTCTGGGTTACACAACTGAGATGTGTCTGAGGAAAGTGGCAGATGACAATGTCACACGGTGGTTCTTTATCATACACTGCTAGGATTTGCACTCTGGCACCGCTGGCACCTTTACATTGGGGAGATAAGATATAGTGGCTGGTTTTTGAGGATTTAACTCCGTGTGCCTTCCTCCAGGTGCCTGCAGTCCTGCTACTTTGGCAAAAAGCTACGGATCTCAGCCCAGATGTTCAGTGCAGAGCAACCAGGTCCTGAAGGACAAGTAGAAATGGTGCCTCCTCCACAAGCAGAGGTGAAAAATAATGATGGGCCATAACACTGAAGTCAAAAACTCCTTTGACTCTGCTGGGGGTGAGGAGCTGGCCTCCCATGCTTTAAGTGTTATTTGTAAATGGTTTAAACTGTTCAAATTATGTTCAGGCAAAAACACAGAAGTAAATGTGATAGGTTGGTGTGCAAGCATGACCACCCACTCACCAGCTTTCTCTTTAGCACCACTGATTACTTCAGCTGTTAATGGAGAAACTTCATGCCTGCCAGCAAATAACTGGTGATCTGGGTAAAGAAAGCCAGAGTCCTCCTGTATCTGGGCTGGGCTGGTAGGCTTGTAACAGACAGACGAGGAGCCTGCAAGAAAGAAAAATGAGATGTCAATAAATGAACCAACTGAATGAAAAAAAAAAAAATCATGACCTGTGACTGAAGTCCAAAATAATTTTCTTGAGTGTATCTGGGTGAACCGAGAAACTCTGCTGGGACCACCCAGCAAATGCCTTTGCTGTCCTTGGCACCCTAATAACACACTAACTCTGATGAAGGAGCAGCAGCCACCAGGTCCTCAGTGCTATTTCATGCACTGATCCAGCCTAGCTGTTGAGGTCCCCAGCCCAGGTGCTATGCAAGCCTGACTCAGCCTCGCTTACAAAAGTCACAAAAGTGACAAGTTTTGTAGTGACAAGCTCACAAATCATCGTATGGCCCAGAACAAGAATCCAACACAGTGAGGGTAAAACAGAAAGATGCTGAGGGTAAAAAGAAGGAAAGAAGGAAACCTGATAACCCAGAGGCACATTCAAGAGCAGCCAAAGTCTGTGAAAGGCTTCTCCTCAAAATCCATCCACTCACAAACAGTAATTCAGTAACACAGAAAATTACTGGGACATAAGATACAGCCAACACTATCAAGAGAGAGAGTTTATAAATCACTTCATCCAGATGTTCTTAATATGGCAAAGAGAGGATGTAGCTGGAGAACCACAGAAATATCTCAGGCTGACTGACTCCCAGCACTGGATTCACATGCCCTAACTTAGGCATCTAATAGACATCTCAGTCTTGAACTAGTCACCCCAGGCTCCTTTCACAAGCAGTGAGTAGAAACAGACTCTCCTGGAGCCAGCTGTTGGGGCTGCTTGTCTCTGGAGGTGTCTATTCTAACAAGTACCTTCAAAATGTGTCACAGCAGCATTAAGACGTGACAACGTTCACTCTGTGCTACCCTCCGCTCACCTTCGCCTTCCTTGTTTCCTGCTCCTTTTTCAGAGCACTTCCTTGGCCTTCAAAACCAAAGGCTCTTTGAGGACAAGGACTGGGAACGTGAGTATCTCCTTGCCCTGAGTTCACCCTGGTGCTCCCAGGACTCAGCAGAACTGCTCATTTACACTCCCAGGTCCCTATTTTAGACAACAGACGTCTATCAACCTCCAGCACTGACCTGCCTGGACTGAAGGCCCTAGAGGTGGTGGCCTTGGAGGAGAACATGTACATCCCAGTGGGGCAGGAGACCCATCAGCATGGAGCCTGGCTAATGGAAAAGACCATTTTCCAATAGAACGGTGCCCCACATCAACTCCGTGCTCTGCAGGATCTGCTGTGAGCCACAGATGACCCGAAACAGAATCACAGAATGGTTGAGGTTGGAAGGGACCTCTAGAGATCATCTAGAGATCTAGGGATCATGTCCCTACTCCAGTAGGGACACCTAAAGCATGGGGCACAGGGTGGCATCCAGGCGGGTTTGGAAGATCTCCACAGAAGGAGACTCCACAACCTCTCTGGGCAGCCTGTTCCAAGGCTCTGGCACCCTCACAGGAAAGTTCTTCCTCATATGGAGATGGAACTTCCTGTATCCATTACCCCTTGTCCTGTCACTGGCCACCACTGAGGAGTTTGGCCCCATCCTCCCTACATTCTCCCCTCAGGCGCTTGTACATGTTGAGCAGATCCCCTCTCAATCTTCTCTTCCCCAGGCAAAACAGGACCAGCTCGCTTAGTCTTTCCTCAAGATGAAACAATTCATCTAGACTGTGGTTGGCGTCTCCACTACCCACGCACTTGCTACCACGAATCACATGGGGATGTCACTCTGCTATGGGAGAGGGACTAGGCATTTCTGCGAAATGTTAATGAATTCACCACTTTATTATTCATATTATGCATGAATCCGTATAGCAGTTATCTATATTTAGAGAGCAAAATGGAAAGATTGCTCAATTGAGCAGATATAAACCAAATATGTTTGTCAAAATTAGCACGGTAGACTGTCCTGGAATTTGTGCTGATGCTGATTCAGAACCAAGAAAAATCTCAAAATCTTGATTTCCAACATTATTAATGTATTCTGCTACAAAATCATATTAAAGGTACCATGGCTTGCTCACACAAGGTCCTGCTTTGGAATCACAAATTCGGTGTGAAACTTCCCAGGCTCGTTTTATGAATAAAAGCTAAAAACTGCCATGGAACAAAGAAAATCCACGTGCACAAGGAAGACAAACTGTTTCGGGCAGTACAGGCAATCTAAATAGCCGACAATTACCAGCTAGGCCACCCCACTCACCAAATGGAATTTAAAAGAAAGAAACTGTTAATAAATTTTGGTTTGCTTTTACTCGCTTTCTGAATGTTGAGTCAGAAAATGCCCTCAGGACATGTTTTCAAATTCTCCTAGACGCAAAAACGGAGAATAAAGATGTGCTTTTTTTTTTCTATTTTTTTTCTCCGTAATAACAGCAGAATTTCTCAAGTAACAGCTTCTCTTTGGGGGCTGGGGCTATAGCAAAGCAATCACGTAAAATCTTGCACTAAAATTGCAAGGACTGGTAAAAGCAATCATCTGTCAAATTGCTCAGTCCCAGATCT